CCGCGGAGGAGGCCGGGGAGGAGCCTGCGCGGGGCGCGGAGCCCCGGCCCAAAGTGAAACTCCTGGCACTTGGCGGGCGCGCGGGGAGCGGAGACGGGCTGCGCGCCCTCGGGCCCGACGCGCCCCGGCGCCCATGGCGCTGAGCAAAGGGCTGCGGCTGCTCGGGCGGCTGGACGCCTCGGGGGAGTGGAGCGTCCTGCTGGAGGCGCGCGGCCGCGGGGACTGCCTGCTCTTCGAGGCCGGCACGGTGGCCACGCTCGGTGAGTGCGACCGCGCCGCGGACCCGGGGCTGGGAACGCGCTCCCCTGGTCTCCCGTCCCGGGGGAGAGACGACGCCCGAGGCGAGGGCGCCGGCCGTGCCCAGACTTCGAGAAAGGGGCACCTCCCTTCCCCGAGGTGACCAGTCCCGGGCGGCGCCGAGACAGCCGGGGCGTGGGGGTCGCGCGCGGGGTGCGGGCGGCCTGTTTGAATGAGGGGACCCCGGGGACGCCAGAGTGCCCCGCAGGCCGGGCCCAGGGCGCGGCGGCCCGCGGCACCTCCTGGGGGTCTGCCCTCGCCGCGCCCGCCGGGTGGTTGCGCTCTTGGGAGAGCCGGTGTGGCCTTCTATGCCCCCGCGCCCCGCCGGGACACGCGACAGGTCCACCGCGATCCCAGGGGATTGACCTAGGAGCCGCCCCGACCCCGTGCCTGACGCTCGTTTTCTTTTGCACCTGTTGATGAAACCAGTGATTGCCCGTTGGTTTGTGTTGGCTAGCTTCTGTTCCCGAGGGGATAGGGGACACAAACACGGGAACACAGACCCCGGAGAAACCTCTGATGGAACCTGTATTGACCCCACGTAGATACTTGGCCGAGAAGCATCAGTTTTGCAAAGTGCAGAACTTGTAAGCAAATGTACCACCTGGTGACTCTACCTTTATGCTGGATGTATTTGTAGATGCCAAGCCAGTACATTTCACGTCCGTGCTTCAGGAAGTGTTGAGACTGGCCTTGTGCCAAGGACTTTAGTGGTGACCTCATTTAACTTTCACAGTTCTGCAAAGGAGCTACTGTTAACGCCATATATTATAGATGAATAAACTGGGGCCTGAAGAGGCTATGAAACTTGCTTGACCCGAGGGGACACACCTCTACCTGAGTCCTATGCTGCTGCTTTTAAAGATTTATTTGAGAGTTGGGGAGGGGCAGAGGGAGAGAGAGAGAGAATCTCAAGGCGACTCCTTGCTGATCTCCCACCCTGAGATCATGACCTGAGCTGAAACCAAGAGCCAGGTGCTTAACCCATTGAGTGTGCGGCTGTTTTTATAATGTCATACAACACGTGGCGTCCTGGTATCACCAGCCAATCACCCTGTCCCTTGTTCTGTGGCTCACTTCATGGGGAAGGCCAAAGTGAGCAAAACCAAGTAGGACTGTTAGAACTTTAAACTTGAACGCTGGAGAGTAGGCTTCCAGCTGGTGTCCTGCTATACCATCTTACCTTGTTCGTTCTAAACAAAGCACAGAGGAAGGTCACTGTCCTTTAAGTTCTGGATGACCAGGGCACTCACTTCCACAACACTTTATAAACGTCTCTAGTCTTTTTGCCCCCCCCCACCCCCATATTAGTATGCATGGATTCTTCAGTTAGGATATGCCTCTTGGAAGAATCATCTCTTCTATTTCAGTTTCCCTAATCATTTCATTAGCATATAGTTGTTGGGCTTGTTTTCAGTCGCTTGGTTACTGAAACAGTGTCTCCAGCATTGTTAGTACCATAGTGTGCCTGCAGTCGTTGATTAAATTATTATCAGATTATTCCAGTTTGTGCTCTGTCCCGAAAAATCCAAGTTTGGTCATTTGCTAAGGTCTTGAAAGAAAACCACAGAAATTTCCATTCCATTTTAGAGGTCTACTTCATACCACATTTATCAGAGCCAAGAGATTCATTTCATGGTACAAAAATACTCCTTCATCAAAGAGATTAAAACGTCCATCACTTGGATTACGGCAACATTAGGCAAGGTTCATGCACATTTAAGTGTTCCTTTGAAGCCACTTGGAGAAAAAGACTTTATTTTTTCAGAAGTGAAGACTTTAAAATGATTAATGAAAATAATATAATGCATATTTTCCATTTGGAAATTCAGTTTGGGCTGTGATGCATGTATATTACTTTGGTGACTACAGTCCACTGGATTCTAGTACAGAGGGTGTAATGGAAGGAATTGGCTTGTCTTCAACTCATGTGCAGCCCACATTTGTCACTTAACCGAGCATTCATTTTTAAGTAGAACTTAGGCCGAATACTTAATTTTTAAAGTCTGTTTTTCTTAAGTGAAACTATTTTTAAAAAGCAGCTATAGCGCTTGGTGCTATTGCTGGTCCAGAGGAGGATTATCAAAGCCTTCTGTTACTAGAAAGTTGTTGTTTCGGGCTTTTCAAGTATCCGAAACACGCCACAATTTGATAGAATGGTTCTGAATTTGAAATTCCCATCTGTATTTCAAAGGGCTGGCTTCTTTGCTTTCCTTTCCTTGACAAGGAAAAGCGTACTTTCATTTTTTTCCCCAGAAGGTTTCAATGCCTGCTTTTGCCTGGGACCAGACATCTGTGGGAGCCGGCATAGCCGCGGTTGGAATCCTGACCACTCACCCTTTCCATGAGGTTCAAGCCTGGGGGCAGCTTCCTCTCACTTAAGCTGTGGTTTCCTGTGATGGGTCTCCCCCGGGAGGAACGGGGAGGAACCAGAGGCCAGGGAGACTTAAGTGGATGGTTTATTGCCATGTGGGTGGTGGTTTCTCCCCAGCCAGTGAGCGTTCCTCTGCTTGTCCGGAGGCAGATGCATGCCTCTGCTTTTAGGGAGAACAGCAGGAGAGCTCGTGTGCCCCACAGCGGGCTGCAAGCACAGCTCTTCAAAGGCCCAGGTTACCCCACAAGGATCCACACTTGAAAGCCTCTCACCACCCGCAGGGGCTCACAAAAATTGCTTCTTGTTTCCAGGCAGTGCTCAGAGACAGTCAGGGCCTTGAGCTGGGCTGTGCATTTAGGAAAAGCTGATGATCCTTTGCTGGTCTGGCTGGGCCCAGTCCTGCTGTTCGTTCCGCAGTGACTCTGCACCCCGGTCTCCACACCTGGCCATCGAGCCTGCCAGCAGGAAGGTTGCCGAGGGACTACTTCTAAATTCCTGCTTCTACAAGAATTAGGTTGAGAGTCTGTCTTCAGAGTAGATCCGTGGGAACAGGGATTCGGAAGCAGAAAAGCCAAACGTGTTGGCCTACGTTTTCTCGGTGCCTGATTGGAAGGTAGGAGGTTTCTCAAGTACAGGTGGAAAGCCATAGCATGGAACAGTTCCCCATGGTCCGCCAGCCAGTTAGCGCGCAGAGCTTCTCTTACTGGCACATCTGGACGAAAAGTCCTTGCTGTCTTTCCTTTTGTCTCTTTTAGACCTAGTGTGGACCAAGGGAAGGGAAGTGCGCCTGTTGTTCGTGGATTTCATTTTCAGAACACACACGGATACTCCAAAGTTCAGCCTTCTCCAAACAGCCCCCAGGAAGGGTGGCCTGCGAGCGTCTGTGTGTTTGCCGGGGTGTTTGTGAGCGAGTGCGACCCTGCCTCTTGCCCCCAGCCACGCTTGCTGTTGAACAGGGAGCCGTGGCCGCGGGGGTGGGGGTGGGAAGGAGGCCTGGGAGATTTAATTAACTTAATTAGTGAGTGTCCCTAAATGACGCTGAGCTTCTGGGGGGAAAGTTTCTGTGTAAACACCGGGCCTGGGCTTTCCCAGCTGCTGTGTTTATATGGAGGTCACAGTATCCTGCTTTGAATTGCTGAAACGGCCACAGAGCCAAGCAAGGCTTCTGCTAAACTGTTGCCTTGCTCACTCTCCCTGGCTTTGTGGCCCAGAATTAGTCAGTGCCTTACAGTTTGACCTGCTTAAGGGCACTTGAGAGGATCCGTTGAGTGGCCAGGTGATCAGCTGTCCTGGGTGGAGACTGCAAGACAGGGAGGGCCGGGGGGGGGCTCCAGGCTGCTGACTTGGGGACACCGGGGCAGCCCCCACGTGTGGGCCTCCCCGGCTTGTGGCCGGGTCCTTCTTCCTACTTGGTGGTATGCTCAGCATGATAGTCACGGAAACGCAAACTGGGTTAGTATGTACTTCTACCTGTCGTTTGTGTACCTCGCCAGTAGGAGTCTGATGTCATATCTTGCCAGGCTCCTTTTTGGGGCTCTGTGGCTCAAAAACCTTTCCCATAACCTTTAAGTGTGAACATTTTCAAATGTACAAAAGTAGAAGGAAAAACAAATCCCCTGTACCTGTCACTCAGCATTGGTATCTGTCAATATATTTCAATTCTGTGTTACCTGTTCCTGTGTTTTTTAAAGATTTTTTTATATTTTATTTGAGAGAGAAAGAGAGCAAGTGAGAGAGAACATTTCCGGGCGGGGCGAGTGGTGTGGTCGCCAGCGGCCTCAGTCTGAAAATCGGATGCCTTTTGCGGGGGTGTCTGCAGCGGACCAAGCTGAAGGCTTGAAAGCCAAGCCCCCAGGGCTGCGCAAGCATCTCTGGGCCGCATTGGCAATGGATGGTGCTTCTGACGAGATGGGCGCAGTCAGGGCGGTGTGGCCATAGACAGGACGGCACTTCTGTCTTCCACACACTGCTGGATGTTGTGCGGACACTGGTGGATTCGTCTGGGTGCTGGTAGATGAGGGGCTCTCAGTGGGCAGGCTGGGGTCCACCCTCAAGGCCAATGCAAAACAGCCCAGTTATGGGCACTTTCTAATTGTGTTCAAGGAATGCTGGAAGGAGGTTTGGGGTACTGTTATGTACCTGTAAGTCATTCTTGAGGATGATTTAATGAAAACCTGGAGAAATACACATGTCCTTCCGGCACCTGGTGGCTCAGTCGGTTAAGTGTCAGACTCTTGGTTTCAGCTCAGGTCATGATTTCTTGGTTTCAGCTCAGGTCATGATCTCATGGGTCCTAAGATCGAGCCCCTTCCGGCTCTGTGCTCAGTGGGGAGTCTGCTTGAGATTCTTTCCCTTTGTCCCTCCTCCCCCACACGCTCATGTGCACATGTGTGCACATGCTCGCTCTCAAATAAATAAATAAATCTTAAAAAAAAGAAATATGCATGTCCTTGATCCAGTATTAAATGGATAGAAATTTACTTCAGGATATATTCATATAGCATGAGCTCATTTTGCTTTGAGGATGTTCATTGAATTTTTAGCTAACTAAATAAACCTTGGTCCAACTTGATAATAATAGCTAACATT